TTCTGACTCACAGATTGTAAGTACGTTTTTTATATTTAAAGAGTTTTTATATTTTATATATTTATAGCGAGTTTTTTGGGCAGTGTAGATTAGGACTTGTTGTTTGTCATTTCTCCGATCACAAATGCAGATATGGTTTTATGTTTACGCGGCGCGATGCAACGCAACGTGTAAAAAGACAGTATAAGTCATTATAATCCATAATTATGTCCCCACTGGATGCAACGAATGCCTCGTTTATAATGGGTTTTCATGTTTTTGAATCATCGCTCCGGCCGGACAGGGCATCACAATATGGTAGGGGCGTAACATTTCCGTCACACGCTTGAGGTATTCGGCCAATCACAACGCACTGGATAGCTGGCCAATCACAGCACACCTCGCTTTTTCAGAACGAAAAGCGTTTCAGAAAGGCGGGGCATAGAGGAGAAACAATAATGTACAGTATGTGGAAAATAATGTGTTTTTTGAACCTTAAACAGCATAAACATATTTCATTACACCAAATACACAAAATAATGTTCTTTTTAGCAGCATCATATGACCACTTTAAAAGAATATTTCTGTGTGACATAATGGTCGACCATTATGTCACACAGAAATATTCTTAAGTCGGTTTACTCATTTTATCTAATATAGCAGCATTTGATGCTTTTGACAGCTTAATTTATGCATAGTTTATGCATTTAATCTAAATGCAATAATCTATGTGAAAAGTGTGTGCAGGATCCACATCATCCATTTGATTAAATATTAAATAAGGGCTAAGAAGACAAATATTAGACTATTTATCTTACTGTACTGACACTGACAGATGAACACAAAAACTTGAAAAAAAATGAATTGAGCTTAATAATAACATTTTACAGCTGAAATGTTGATAAATGTTTGCAACATTAAAACTGTTATTTTCCTGTCCATTACCTGTTTATTTTATTATTTTTCGTTTATTAGAGAAAAAATCTAAATTGTATGAAGTGTAATATAAATGCAACTTGACTATACATTTTCTCAGTGTCAGATGTAGTACAGTATTTCACTGTACAGTATCTTAAAACCATCAGAAATCTGTTTTTCTTAATATGGTTTACATTGAACATCTAGTAGAGACTCAAAACAATACCAAAATTACAATAGAAAATGTAATTTTTGAAGATTTCATGCTCTTGGCAGCCAATAATTCATCACACAACACAATGTTCAAAAGAAACTTTTAATCCAAGTAGCAGATGAATTTGGGAAAATACTGTTGAGTTTGATTGGAAGATATTGCAGACATTTTCTGATTCCTTTTAAAAATTGTATATTTATTTCGCTAAGCTAAATATGTAAATATGCATATTTATGCATTTTATTATTTATTGCATTTAGCCTTGTTTTTCCTTCTGCCAACAACCTTATTTCAACACACATCTAAATAATAAATAATTAATGATAATTAATTAAATTAATAGTACAATATGTGTGCTATACTGAATATTTACACCATTTTGTGCAATAAATGGAAAAATTGAAAATTTTAAATATGAATATATAAATATATTAATTAATATATAATAAAAATATATTCTAGAAAATAAAAATACATGTAAATTAATAATGTACAAATTATTAAGTCTAATAAAGCATTACAAAAATCTCCCAAAAATGTGTGAATTAATACAAAAAAGAAATTAAGCACTACATATCTTGGTGAAAAAACCCTGAGTATTTTTTGTTTACATATTAAAAATGTATTTTATTTCAATTCTAATAATTAAAATGTTGTTTTTATATGGCTAATTGCATTTTATTATTTGTATTTATACAAATTTGCTTGCAGTGCAATCCTATCAGAACACACAGCTAAATAACATTTGTAAATATTAACTAACCAGCATCTCCTTATTCCTTATTCATAGATGTGTGGAAGTGCCACTGTCGCTCAGCGCCGCCACATCGGACTCCAGCAGTTAGAGACCATAGCTGCCACCACACATGGCTTTCTGGGTCCCAACAAACGACCCAAGTTGTTCCAGGATGAAGATGCCGGCGATGCGATGTTGGTTTGCTCCTGTTCACATCTGCTTGAGTGTATCGAGCTGGACGGCTCAGTCGGACAGCTGCTGCTGCAGACGGTACAGGCCCAGCAGAAGCTCTTCCACTCCAGGACGGCCGCGCTGGTGTTTCTGGCTGGAGTCTGGAGTAGAGTTGCATTAGAGTGTCTAAACAGAGGAATAACTGTGTTGGATATCAAAACAGCCATGAGGAAAGGACTGGAGGTGTGTTTGGAGGTATGCAAACAATCGGCTCTAAGTGTGGAAGAAGTTTCTCGCCAGAAACTAAAGGACTGCAAACCATCAAGCCATCAGCCACCGATGCGACTCCTCCATGCATTTAGTTTTAAAAGAACGCAAGTTGCAATCCAAAAACACAGAAAATGCACAAAACAGATCTTTGGATATTCAAAAACTGGTCACGTGCCTCATTCCAGGCCTGTCTGAGGAGTTTCATGGCTTTGTCACGTTGCTCACAGTCGAACAGGCCTCTGTGGTTCGACGCCTTCAGGGTCAGGCATTAAATATCGCTTTGGTGAATGGCGATTTGTGCAAGAAGTATCGCCACGTGGGTTTTAACAAGCCTGGGAATGTCATGCACATCACGGATCGCGCTAACATGTCTGGCGTGAGTCTGGAAGAGCTTTTGATTGAGGATGCATTAAGAAAACTGCATGAATTCAGCATAGATGTTGTGCTTGTGAGCAGCATGGCTGGTGTGAAACTCAAAGATCGAGTTCTTGGTACAAACGTCCTGGTTATTGAAGGTGTTAAAAGCAGTGTTTTGAAGGACTTCAGCACATGCACAGGCGCTCTTCTGATTTCGTACGTCACACAGATTGACGAGAACTGCGTGGGACAGGGAGTTACAGTCAGTCAACAGAGAGATTTCAGTAGAAAAAAGGATTTCGTCGCGGTCAGCATTGTGACTGCAAGCACGTCTCTGGTCACGGCGGTCATAAGCAGCTCTGTATCTGCTAAACTGCAAAGCTTGGAGGATCAGTTTTGGAGCTGCGCTCATCGGTTGCACCAAGCTCTTGCAGATGGGAAGTTGCTGCATGGCGCAGGAACCACCGAACTCCTTTGCATCCAGCAGCTTCATCAATCTAAACAGACAGAGATGGAAAACCCACAGGAGAGTGTGGTGCTGGAGCTGATGGCCGAAGCCTGGATGGATTATGTCTCCACTTTGATGATGAACAGCAGGTCGGTGGGGTCTAAAGCAGAGGCTTGGACGGCTATTGCACATCAGATGAGACTTTATAAAGATGGAGAAGCCATATCGCGGGATGCAGATGGAGCTGGTGTATATGATAACGTAACTGTGAAGTCTGAAGCCTGGAGGAGAGCTCTTGATCTGGTGTTTCTGGTGCTTCAGTCTGACACCGAGATCATTACAGGTGTCAGTGAAGGAGAAAATGTTTACAGGGAGCTCATGTATCTTTGATATCTGAGGCATAATTATTATTATTTTTTAAATCAAAATAGAATTTAAACTTTTTATTTTCATATATTCTTCACTTTGAAGATACTTCAGGTATTTTCTATACAAGTAAAAAATATGCTACAATGCATGATATTATGAGTGAAATTTGCGTAATATTTCATGGCCTGAAAAAATGTATGTTTTGTTGAATTAATTTGTTTTTTATTTAGTATTTGTCTGTTTTATACAAAAATTCATATACTTTGGAAATGTAGAAATGATTATATCTAATAAATGATTATAGAAAATGCCTAAAAATGGAATAAATACATAAATTCAGGACTAAATTGTGTGGGGAAAATTCATTCATTCATTCATTCAATATAGCCTACAGATTTTGATTTGTATATTACATTTTATAAAGAAGTATGTATATATATATATAAATAAATATGTATATATATATATATATATATATATATGTGAATGTGTGTGTGTGTGTGTATATGACTTGTAGATTATGTCTAAAAGTACATATCTTAGGACGCAGCA